GAAAATTGCACGGTCATGCAACGCTGCACCCAAATGAAATAGAGCTTTATTTTGGTGGTATTTGATCACCTGTGCGGTGATCAAAACTTTATTTGTTGTTTGCCGTTTTACATAGTGTGCTGTGTGTGTGCTTCACTGTAAGCACACTGCTTTGTATGGCTCTGCTATGTACAGTCATGCAAAGCAGTGTGAACAAAAGCATACAAGGGCGCACTCTCATCGTGCATTACTGTGGTGCACCACAAATTTAATTAGAAAACAAAGATGTATACTCACAAACCAAAGAATAAAAACAGAGCAGATAAGCTTTTTATTCTCTTTGGTATGTGAGTATACATCTTTATGTTTTCTAATTAAATCATGGTGCACGCATATACATCGTCAAGGTTTCCCGATCTTTGAAGGGCTGCACCGCCATTCTATTCCTCCTAGTCTGCATGAAGATTTGAGCACTGGTTTCGTTTGTACTTTTGGTTTACATATGCAAAGCAGTATGCAGGAGCTGACAGGGGAGAGAACTGTATTGTTTACAAACAGTTCTCTCCCCCCCCCCTTGTCGGAGACGCTCGGCAATCAATGGGCACCGGCAAGTAATCAGTGGCTGGGACCCAGTGATTGACAGCCGAGGCTGCGAATGCGGTGAAGGTAGGGCGTGTTCGCACCTCGTGCGCGTCCCCTACCCAGAACTGCAAACTCACGTTAAATATACACCGCGTTCCAAATTATTATGCAAATTCGATTTAAGTGTCACAAAGATTAAATATTTTGTTTTTCAGTGTAACTCATGGATGGCATTGTGTCTCAGGGCTCTTTTGATCACTGAAAACAATCTCGGACACCTGTGATAATTAGATTGGTCGGTGAGCCCAATTTAAGGAAAAACTACTAAAGGAGAGTGTTCCACATTATTAAGCAGAGCACCATTTTCAGCAATATGGGGAAGAAAAAGGATCTCTCTGCTGCCGAAAAGAGTGAAATAGTTCAATGCCTTGGATGAGGTATGAAAACATTAGATATTTCACGAAAACGTAAGCGTGATCATCGCACTATTAAGAGATTTGTGGCTGATTCAGAGCACAGACGGGTTCATGCAGATAAAGGCACATTGAGGAAGATTTATGCCAGATCCATGCAACGGATCAAGAGAGCAGCTGCTAAAATACCATTACATAGCAGCAAACAGATATTTGAAGCTGCTGGTGCCTCTGGAGTCCCACGGGCATCAAGGTGTAGAGTCCTCCAGAGTCTTGCAACTGTGCATAAACCTTCTATTCGGCCACCAATAACCAATGCTCACAAGCAAAAACGGCTGCATTGGGCAGAAAAATACATGAAGACTAATTTTCAAACAGTCCTGTTCACTGATGAGTGCCGTGCAACCCTAGATGGTCCAGATGGATAGAGTAGTGGATGGTTGGTGGACGGCCACCCTGTTCCAACAAGGCTGCGACATCAGCAAGGCGGTGGTGGAGTTATGTTTTGGCCCGGAATCATGGGAACAGAGCTGGTCGGCCCCTTTAGGGTCCCCGAAGGTGTGATGACCTCTGCAAAGTATGTGGAGTTTATGACTGACCACTTTCTTCCCTGGTACAGAAGGAAGAACTATGCTTTCCGTAATAAAATCATCTGCTGCAAAGAATACCTCTGCATCAATGGCTGTTATGGGGATAAAAGGAGAGAAAGTCATGGTGTGGCCTCCATCCTCCCCTGAACTCAATCCTATGAACCCAGCATCCTCAAGCAAAATATCTATGAGGGTGGGAGGCAGTTTACATTCAAACAGCAGCTCTGGGAGGTCTGACATCTTGCAAACAAATTCAAGCAGAAACTGTCCAAAAACTCACAAGTTCAATGGATGCAAGACTTGTGAAGATGCTATCAAATAAGGGGTCCTATGTTACAATGTAACGTGACCTGTTAAAATGTTTAAAAAGTTAAAATGTTTTTAAAAGTTTGATTGAAATAGCTTTTGATTTCAGTAAATATGCTGCAAAGACAACAAATGACAATTTTCAGTTCTTTACAACCTATAAAGTGTTTTGAATTGTGCATTGTAAGTTTTTTATGTTTAACAAAAATCCTGTTATCATTAGGAGGTTTGTTCAATAAAATTTGAATTGTACTCTTAATAGTTGATAACATGAGAATTATGCTGACTGTTATTTACATCAGCTATTTAGGTAAATGAGAAAATATCATTTGCATAATAATTTGGAACACAGTGTATGTGATTTTGCATCTGTGCCTCCCTGTGGCAGTTAACTGATGTAAACTGAATCAATTTTTCAGAAACATTTACAGTTACAGCCACCATCCATCTGAAAAAACTTGTGGTATATTCTGCAACAGATAGCCATTTGGGGGTTTATTTATTAATGCTGGAAAGTACAAAATCAGATGCATAGAAACCAGTCAGCTTCCAGGTTTTATTGCCAAAGCTTAATTGAACAAGCTGAGGTTAAAAGCTGATTGGCTACCATGCAGAGTGCACCAGATTCTGAGTGAGCCAGATTTAGTAAATCCCCACATTGATGTGTATACTACAATATTAAACATCAAATAACTGGATGTTAAATGGCATTTTTAGTGGAATATTCATAAAATACTATTCTTTTTAATATATTTTGCTTCAGGCCTCCTTTACACCATGCGCAAAGAGGTGAGTATTTCTGGATGGATTCTGCCAGGGCACAAAAAAAACACTGTTCTCTATGTGCCCTGTTCACACCATAACACTAATATCACTTGTGGAATTTCTCTGTGCAGGAATCTGCAGTGCATATAAAACTCACTGAAACGTGCATGAAAACTGATGTAAATTTGTGTCTCTGCAAGTGAAATCTGTGCTTTTTTTTCATCAGTTTTTCTGCACGAATGGTGTGATTGAGGCCTTCTTAAAGCCTTTTAACCCCTTCCCGCTGACCACCGCCCAGCCCTTTTAAGAGTTCTAAAAGCCGGGAGGAGAAGGCAGGCATTTGGGTTATGTGACCGCTGTGATTGGCTGTCACAGCGGTCCCATCTTCAGAAAGCTCCCAATCGCAAGTATACATCAGGAGCTGACCATTCCCGCCAGCTACTGTGCTGGGAGTGTTGTTGCTTTAAGGCCCCCCCCACCCGACGATCAGCCACATATATGCCTATGGCCAATGGCAAAAGGGTTGATAATGGGATTTATTCATGAATATATATAAATATTATAAATAAAATATATTTTGTTTTAGATGAATGACTACCCCTTGTTGGCCCCTTGCATTGAATACACTGACACCTCAGAAAGCTACTATTTGGCAATTATGATTTGTATTGAACTAATGGGGTGTAGTGTCTTTGGGATTTGGTGGGGGGATCTAATCTTTTTTCATTACAGCATGCATGCATTACAACAAGGGTTGTATCAAAAATAGCAATTCATTATCAGAACAGTACTTAAAGTGGAACTTATCTTAGCACCACACTATTTAATTCATTTGTAATATTCAAAGCAAACACACCCATCCATCCATCTCTCTATGCTTTATTTTGTTGAGAAATCACTTTGAAAAACACCCCCTGGCATTTCTAGCTGCGACCATCTTCAATAAGGGCAGATGATTAATTTAGCATTTACTTCCTGGAATTCATCTTCCTTTAGCTCAGGTATACAGGTAGGAGGGTGTGCTCAACTGAGAAAACTCCTCCTCCCCTCTTTCAGATGAAAGAAAAAAAAAAATACCCAAGACGACTCCTGAGATGTATGACATCATTTTGGCGTAGGCCAGAAAGCAACTGAATAAATGTAAACTTTTTTTTTAAACGAAAAAAAAAAGTATAAAACTAGAAAATATAATATACCTTCCAATCTATTTACTAATGCTAAGGGGCAAAAGGATTGAAAATAGTTAATATTAATTGAGAGAGTTTAGTTCCGGTTTAAATAAAAAGACACAAATCTGACACTACTGACTAATATTACTGATCACAACCTTTATTCTCTGCAACCTCTTGTGAGCTTATGTCATAAATCTTAAATGTATACTGTAGTAAAAAAAAAAGTTCATACTACTAATAGACACATTCCAGAAGATGAATACTCCTGTTGTTGAATGAATGGCTGCTTGTGCCTAGTTTAGTTAATTACTACAAAGAAGCTAATCTAAGAAATACTATTGCTTTAGCTGCTAGGTTTACAATAACTCTTGCAATCTTAATCTTTATACTATGCAAACCATGTACTTCAGTTTCATAATTATGTCCCCTATAATTGCGTGTGTTGTTTGAATTTTAAAATTTAGAGCTGATTTCCAATCTTACCCAGGCTCCTCTCCTGTACTGAAATTGCTTACTCTGGTTTCAGTGCACAATCTGAACCTCTCACAGTGTGCATTAGAAGCTGCAGCACATCAGATAGAGTCAGCTGACTATTGCCCAGGCTGCTACTCAGCCTTTCTAACTAAATAATCAGCTAGCTCCCCATAGCGAACTAGGAGGGTGCTACATTTATGTAAAGCCTTTATACTGAAAGAAAATAAACTGTTGCCATAACTGATTATAACTTGCCTACTGAGCACATTTCCCCTCGTCCTGCCCAGGCCAGTTTTCAGCTTTCAGTGCTGTTTGCGCTTTGAATGACAACCCAACATTTGAGTTTTTATTTTACTTTCACTTTCAATAATAATGCTAAACAGGACAAATAGAGAGGGTTAATCTGCTTAATGAGGGCACAAACAGCAATAAAAACTAACAAATGTTCTAATCCCTCTACACTCTATCCAAAACAAAAAAAATTTTTTGCCTTTAGTTATACATTAATTTTATTCTTTAAAGTAACACACATGTCATACTTACCTGTTTTATGCAATGGCTTTGCACAGAGCACCACTGATCCTCCTTTTCTCCGGTCTCCCATTGGCGCTTGTGGCTCCTCCCCATTGCCAAGTGTCCCCAGAGCAATCATGTGTGCTTGCTCCCGAGCCATAGACACACAGAGCGTAGCTCAGTCTCGTCCCCTGCTCCCTCCTCACTGGCTGTGAATGACAGCAGCGGGAGCTGCTGCTGTATCTCTGCCAATGGGGAGAGAGAGACCAAGGAGAGTGGAGGCTCCCCTGTACAGCACTGGGTGAGGATCAGGTTCAGGTAAGTATTAGTTGGTACCAGGGGCGGACTGACCATTCAGACACTCGGGCACTGCCTGCGGGCCCGGGGTCAGTAAGGGGCCCCATGAGATGCCCCTGGTACCTTCCATAGGCTTTTTTTGAGTGTGGATTGAGTGTGGGCGAGGACACAGGGGCCCCATGATCCCCTATTGCCCAGGGGCCCCATGAGTTGTCAGTCCACCCCTGGTTGGTACTGTGGGGGGAGCTGCACACTAAAGGTTTTTCACCTTCATGCGTAGATTGCATGAAGGTAAAAAAACATTTGCCCTTTACAACCACTGTAACTGCTTCCCGACCACCCTATAGCATTACTACTGCTACAGGGAGGCAGGGCTGCACAAAATCACTTATATATACCTGATTTTGTATTTCCGGGTAATCTCTGCCGGCGCCAGCTATCGCCAAGGAACACTGACAGACGAGAGGTCTATATGTAAACAATACAGATCTCTCCCCAGTCAGCATCAGCATGCTGCTTTGTATTGCTCTGCATAGCAAAGTAATACAAAGCAGCATGCTTACACAGTAAAACACACACAGCACACATAGTAAAACAGCACACAGCACACAGTTAACCCTATGATCGCCCCAGATGGTAACCCCTTCCTGCCCAGTGTCATTAGTACAGTGTCAGTGCTTTTTATTAGCACTGATCACTGTATTAGTGTCACTGGGGATGTCAGTGGCAGTTAGTCGATGATCGCCGCCATTACTAGTATATATATATATATATATTATATATATAAACAGGTATTGATGAATCAGAGTGACTTGCGAGCCACAGGTGTGTATAATTACTAGAGGATCGCCAACTGAAACCATAACTACAACTGTGTTGGAAATATCTATAACTAAATTCTTCTCAATAAATAATAATTACATTATTACCATTAAATTAATTCAATTATGATACAAATACTAAAAAAAGTGTATAAATACCAAAAAATATTTAAATAGATAGTTTCAACTGATCAATCTCCTCCAAATAAATACCAAATATTCCACATGAAATACTCCTTTTTTACCAAGTGCTCATAAATCATCTATTAGTGACATGATGTACTTACTAATACCCTCAATTTCATTTAGATTCATAATACCCTCTTTAATATATAAAAATAGTAAACCAACTAATAACCCTCAACTAAAACGCATTTAAATGATCCCCCATATAAATAAAAATAACCAATAATTTGGGGGAGATTGATCAGTTGAAACTATCTATTTAAAAATTGTTGGTTATTTGTATCATCTGGTTTTTTGAGAAGAATTTTTATAGCGCAAAAAATAAAAATGCAGAGGTGATAAAATACCACTGAAAGAAAGCTTGAAAGAAAGCTTCATTGTGGGCCAATTTGGTATATAACTTTCACATAAACCAAAAAAAGGACATACAAAATTTCGTTGGTCTTTTTTTGTTTATAGCGTGCAGCGTTGAAAGAAAGCTTCATTTGTGGGAAAAAAAAGGACATACCATTTGGGTGCGCGTTGTATGACCGGCAGTTAAAGTAACACACAGCGCTGTATCACAAAAAAATGGCCTGGTCACAAATCCTCTGGAGGGTGGTTAATACTGCTTTCAGTCATGGAGACTTAACATGATATGTGAGTGTTACCTAGGGTGACTTGCATGCAAATACATCTTACTTTGGAATGCCCACTCCTCCAAACTGACACCTACCTACCAATTGTTTGCATGTTTGCATAACCAATAGCCAGCCCACTGCTTGCATTAGGCTCAAGTTCCTGGCAGCAGTACTGAAGCAGGGTGCTGTGATGTTTTCAGAAGGCTATATACAGCATCACACCAGCCATGATCTGCCTACATTGCAGAGAAAAGCACAGAAACCCAGCGTTGTCAGCACTGGGTTTAAAAAAAGGTTTGCAATAAAACAGAAAGATTTTATTTAAAAATGTCATTAGTATATTGAGAGAGGAAGGGAGGAACCAGGGAAGACAAATATAAACAGAATAAAACTTCACCTTTAAAGAAGATTATGAGCAGTCAAAATCTCTGAAAGTATAATTTATTTATGCAAGAAAATTTCCGATCTCTTGGAGTCCCTTTCTTACCATTTATTGAGGATGAATAAAAATGGAAAAATATGGAAAAAGGAATTCTCATTCCTGAAACATTGTACATTTTCTGGCTGCACACTCTCATGTTATAAATAATGTATCACTTAGTGCTGGTGATATTATTTAAATACTTCTACTTGTGTACACTGTCATCTGTTTTGTTGCTTTATATATGGACATAAAGTAGAATACACTGCATCTGAGCATCACAAGCCAAAAATGCTATTAAAATAATTTTTAATATGCAACGCAAACTCACCCATCCATCCATCCATGTCTCCATGGTTTATTTTATGGAGAAATCACCCCTAGCATTTCTGGTCATGGCCATCCTGAGTAAGGAGAGGTACTCATGTAGCATTTACTTCCTGGAATCCATTTGCCCCTAGCTCAACCATGCAGGCAGGAGCATGTGCTTAGCTGAGAAATCCCCTCTCCCAAAGATTCCTAGGATGTATGACATCATTTGCCTAGGCCAGAAACCAGGAACTATCTGAATAAATGTACAAAAAAAAGTTTAAAACAAGTAAATATAATATACCTTCCTGTCTAATAGCAAATGCTAGCAGCATAAGGATTAAAGACAGCCATGTTAATTGAGAGAGTGAAGTTCAGCTTTCAATTATTGGTGCAAACTTGAAAGATATTCGATAAACAAATTATGCTTGGTGAAACAAGAACATTACAATCACTGATTAAAAACATTTTTAATTCTCATTAAACAAACATAATCCTTTTAACTTTATAGAATATACCTGTAACACTCTATAGTCTTTAGGATTTGCACTAGTTTTCATTTTATGCTACTTTCTAATCTTACTGTCAAATTGTGTTTCTTTTACTTCTAAGTATACATACATATGGACTACAACATCCAGATGTTGGCCAAGCTTCAAGAGCAATATCAATTTCTAATAAAGTCACAAGCACAACGTGAGCAGTGTTTTACGACACATTCACATGAATTCATTGTAGCATTTCTAGAGCTCCAACACTGCATCTATTCTTTGATTTCTTAGGAAAACCTGTGATAATGCTTCCAGGAATAAGGCATTGCGCTAGATAAAGGAAACATGACTTTTTGTGTATTTTGGTAATAATACTTAAAGCGTAAACACAATTTCTGTGATATAGTATATTCTGGCTAGAATGAAGAGTTTATTGAACAGACTTGTTCTGATCCAGCTGTGTCTTCTTAATCCCAAAAGTGTTAGATGTACACAAAGAACCGGAAAGCGAAAGCAATTTTATTCCTACTTCTAAGAACTTATAGACGATAAGTGTATAGAGTATGTGAAAGCTGTTATATGCTGTCTATAGGGGGTCCACTTCATTCTAAAGCTTTGTGTACCAATATTACACAATGAGATGGATTGCTCTTACTGATTTAAAGTGTTTCAGACATTCCCATTTATGATGTTGTCCTATTGTAAAGCTAGTTGTATATTATTATTATACAGGATTTATATAAGAGCTGACAATTTGCACAGTCCTTTACAGTATAACGGGAGACAATACAGCAACAATACAAATTCAAAAGAAGAGGGTTAGGAAGACCATGCTCCAGGGAGCTTACAATCTAATAAAACAATACTGTTTATAGATGCCAAGAATACTAAAATAATATTTCAGCATATAAAGAAAATTGTGTTTAAAACATTAAAACAAAGCCTATAAACTATTGTGCATTTATTGTGATTATAATGTATTCATAAAAAAAATATAATTCACCGTAAAAAAATTAAAATTATTTTATTACATTTATACATTTGAGCCATAATTAGCTCAAATTATAATTTCCTTAGCTAAAAACTGTATTTCATAACTTAAAGTGGAGCTTCACCTAAAAGGGGAAGTTATGCTTTAAGGACTGCTCTCCCGCTCCCCATTAAGGATTGGCACCTTTGGGGGGCGGGGGGGGCGGGTGCCCGAGTTTGACAGGTACCGCCTCCCAATTGCGGGCAGACCGCCTAGGCGTAGTCTTCTGGGACACGTGACAGGTCCCAGAAGACTACAGGACCATTCATGAAGTGCAGCGCTACTCACGCATGCGCAATGGGTACCCGGCTGTGAAGCCGCAAGCAGTCACAGCGTGTGCCTATACTGAAGATGCCAGCCTCCAGCAATCCAGGACAGCAGGTGAAACGGGCTGCGGGGGACACACCACGGACAGGTAAGTGGCTGTTTTTTAAAAGTCAACAGCTACAGTTTTTGTAGATGCTGACTTTTATTTTTTGACAGGATGAGTGGAACTTATATGGGATGTCTGAGCAAGCAGATATACTGACAGGAAGCATCAATGAACTACCACGGCATGCCACAACTCCATGGTAGTTCACTGAAAACTACAAGCCCACAGCCATTAAGGCTGTCGGGAGTTGTAGGCACTCATTCACAGAACACTGTGAATGAGTGATGCGGCCGTGTGGGTGGAGCCCCGCGAGGTCGCGCTGTTTTCAAATCTGACAGATAGTACGGGGGAAATGGGAAAACTCTCCCTGTACTATATGTTTCGGCGGGCGCGCCTGCGGCTGTGGCTATTGGAACATGTTACATGTTGCACCCTAACAATGGGGAGGAACATGTAACATGTTCCAAAGGTGAACTTATCCTTTAAAGTATATGTGAACTCTCACCTTGTAAAACAACCTATTCAGTTTAAAATAGAAATGAAAGGCAAATTCATTTGTGTATTTATATGAAAAATGTTATAAATACCTTTTCCCCCCTCCTTCCCCTTTTTTAAAATTCCTTATTTAGTGGAATGCATCAAAATACAAAAACATGACTTACATACATACCGGGTACAGACAGACCTTTGGAAGGGGGACTTAAAACAATGACCTTCCCATAACCAGCACACAATAGGTGGTACAGTATTACATAGCAGGCTCACACAGAAAGCAGAACTACTAGCAGAATGTATGGTAAGCACATAGAGCCTTAAAAAGGTACACAATGAAACAAATAGATTGGTAGCTCAATGAGATGAGCTGAGGAGAAAGAAGACATAGAGAGTAGCAAATGTGCATGTACCATGTGCAATACAATATAATTGAACAGTGCATCCAATTGGGTAGCAAACGCAAACCAACAGCATTTTTAAC